GAGGAAGAAGGCACGATAAATGTTTCAATAGGAAGAATGGGAGAGCAAGGTATTACATGGGGAGGAAGCAAAGAGAGAAAAATGTTACAGGAGAGGGCAAGGAGGAGGAATGAAAGGGAAAGGTTACATGGGGGCAGGAAGAGGAAACCAAGAAAAATGTTCGATGGGAGGAAGGGACAAGAGAGAAGTGTTATATTGGAGAAAGGGGCAATAGAAATGTTACATAGGGAGGAAGGGTTAGAGAAATTAACCCTTCCTCCCTATGTAACATTGCTCATGCCCCTTTCTCCAATATAAGAAAATGCTTTTACCTCTTGGGACTTATACATGTGATATAGCACTACATGTTGAGGGTAATGAAGACAACTTGGCTACTTCCCAGTTATGTCAGAATACTCACGGGATATATATTTTACTCCATCTGTCTTAATAAGATCAATGTATACATCAAGAAAAAAAAGAAGAGCTTTATTACAAAATAGGGGGTTCATTTGTGAAATTATCAGTGTCACCTCCTGTGAAGCTTTAGTCAATGTGAGTATTATTGGTGTTTGCGACAGGTTTAAAATACAGTACATTTTCTTGGAATACATTTTGACTTTTACATCTACTTACATCCAAAGTAAATATTATTTCACTGTTTGGGATTCAATGACACATCCACAAATTGCATCCTTCATTTTCTTTTCAGGAAGTTCTCTTCTATTCAACTAACTCCATTACAATGTTGCATTTAAACAAGCAATTTCCTTGTCACTTGTTGCTAAATGAAACAGTGAGAGAATTAATTCCCAGTGAAGAAACAAATACATGGTGAAAGGGGGATTGGGGATGGAGAAGGAATGCAATAATAATAATCCTTGCATTTGATATAGCACCTAATCACATCTTCTAGACGTCTCAAAGCACTTCATAGAATATAACGTAAAGTGAATTGACTAATTTGTAATACAAAACTAATAATGTACTATATAATAATGTACAGTACAGCTCAATACAACAAAGGTAACAGCTCAATGCAATTCAACAAAACTGTACTGTATAAAGAATTAAACAAACAAGAGTTTTTAAGGCTATAAGATATGTCTGAGTCATGTGTTACTGTTTACTTATTTACTTATGTACCCTGTAGGTTGCCCACATTCACAGCATTACACCTACAGCAGCAGCACTGTCAACAAGTGATGCTGTTGCTTCTTATTCTGACCTCAAAAAGAAGTGGCTTTCCGCAGCAACTCCAAAGGAAAGTAAACTGCCAACTATAATGTGACCATTGTCACTGGAGGGTCTGCTGATGATCCTGACAGTTTATTGAACAAGCAGCTGAACCATGCAGACTCCGAAGATTTGAGGCTCAACACTCCAGTCTGTGCTGAGTTAGCTCATCTCAGCTGAGGTGGCACTGGAAGTGTTAAAATTAGCTTCACTGCCAGTCACCGGAAATAAATCATCCACTGTTCATTATCCAGGCCTCTCCTTCCTCGGGAGATGTTCGTGAATGAGTGCCAGGTAAAGACAGGTTCAGGCATAGCTGTAATGCATTCTTCAATTAAACAGCCTTTGCCACACTTGCTGTCAGGCATAAAGCATTTTGATTATGCAACACCAAGAAACCCATCTTATGGTAGTTTTCCATTGTTTTGCCTGTATGTACTTCCTTTTGCGTTCATTTGCAAAAGTGCGGTACCCAGAAATAAACTGACCAACCACAACTTTAATACAACTGCACATGTGCATTCGTTTTCCTGCTCTGGCAACCATTGGAAATAATACAAATTACATCTGTAATGTTCATTTGTATAGCGCCTTTCACGTCAGGAGGACATCTTACGTGAAATAATGCAACAGGATAATAGAACATTACAAAATAGAACATTACAGAAATATTATTTGAAATACAGGCTCAGCAGGCACTGCCCACTTCACATCTGGCCCACTACCAATTGCATTCGGGTTTTCAGCGTATCTGCCCCCATTCACTGAAACTCCATCCTGGAGACCCTTCAAATCACCTCGTCCCTCGCCTCCTTTAAACATGCCATAAAAATGTAAATTTGTATAGTATGGTTTCCCCCCCCCCTCCACCACTTCAAGGCTCCAAACTACACAAGAGTAAAATTGCAACTACTAAAATAAGCATTGATTTGAGTCTTGCAATACAACAACAAAATTACATTTACAGAGCGCCTTTCGTACCAGGAGGACGTCCCAAAGCGCTGAACAGTCAGATGTCGGGGCCCAAGCATGGGAGAGGGATGGTGTAGGGGTGAGAGAAGGCAGAGAGGTGGGAGGGAGACTGAAGGCACGGTCTAAGAGAAGGGTCTTGAGATTGGCCTTGAAGGATGCAAGGGAGAAAGCGAGGCAAAGGGACCGTGGGATGGAGTTCCAGAGTTTGGGGGCAGAGAGGCTGAAAGCCCAGCCACCCATGGTAGGGTGGGTCGGGCAGGAGACATGGAGCAGACCTGAGCCTGATGAGCGGAGGGAGCGGGCAGGTTGGTAGGGAGTCAGCAGGTCAGAGAGGTAGGAGGGGGCAAGGCCATGGATGGCCTTAAAGGTGAGGACGAAGATTTTGAACTCAATCCTCTGGGGAATGGGGAGCCAGTGGAGTCGGGTAACCAACTGGTAACCAGCTGAAAGTGGGCTCATGGTCGAATGCATGACCATTTTTCCTGCAGAGACAGATAGCAATCACAAGCAGGAATAACATCCAATTTTTTCTCGCTACAGCCTTGATACTTTGACGCTAATGATAACATCAGTTAAGATTGACAAACTCGATGTCAAGCCTCAGGCCCTTCCTGTTTATCACATGATGCATTTAGTCATAGATCTTGCAGATAAAGATCGCAACAATAATATTATTATCAAAGGTTAACAACACCTCACTGGGTCAAAACAAAACATTTGAAACACTAAAATAATCACCATCAGCCGAACGGTCATATCTCACACATTTTCAGCAAAGCCCACGAGTCACATATTTATGATGAAACAATTTTTTGTGAACCTTAATGTCACATACATCATTCTAGCTCCTGTACATTTATTCCCCCTCCCAACTAATCGTTTTTGCTTAAAATGATTCATAGTTAACAGTGGCCTGGCTTTGGCATGTATAAATAGGCTTGGGGATTGGCTCAACAAAGGCTACATCAGAACATTTTTCAAGAAATACAAAATCCTCCGATGCAGTACCCCTTCCCTCTCCACCCAAGAAAACCTGAGATACTCAGATGCAATTTGCCAAAATAAGATAAGACACTCAGATGCCTTATTCCCTGCCTTACAGCTCTCAAGGTGTTCTTTACTGTTTCGGACACAGGAACATTTCCATGTGTAGCTGGATGCATGCAGTGTATTTGGACCGCTCAGCCTTTTAAAGCAGGGCGAGGGGCTTCCTCATATGTCTGGCAGCCAAACTGACACAGAACAAAGATGTTTGGGGGAAATGGCTCCTGTGTTGATTTCTCTTTTGAAATAGCAATTGCAATGACCACAAACACACACACACACACACACACACACAATCCTTTTTAAAGTGTAACCAGCTCCAAAACAGCGACGTATGTCACCGTGTGGAGAAGCCACAACTATACAAATATATGTATATATATATATAGAGAGAGAGAGAGAGAGACTGAGAACAACAAAAGGCCAAACGCGGCAGCTGTTGCGATAGGAAGTTACCAAAAGCAGAAGTGGATACTACTCGATGCCTTTTGTTGTTGTAAACAAACAAAACCCTCGGGCCCTGCAAAACAGGTCCTACTGGTCACCACACCAGGAGAGGCCGAGCTGCTGCTCCCCACCACACACACCACACCAGGAGAGGCCGAGCTGCTGCTCCCCATCACACACACACCACACCAGGAGAGGCCGAGCTGCTGCTCCCCACACACACACCACACCAGGAGAGGCCGAGCTGCTGCTCCCCACACACACACCACACCAGGAGAGGCCGAGCTGCTGCTCCCCATCACACACACCACACCAGGAGAGGCCGAGCTGCTGCTCCCCATCACACACACCACACCAGGAGAGGCCGAGCTGCTGCTCCCCACACACACACCACAACACACCAGGAGAGGCCGAGCTGCTGCTCCCCACACACACACCACACCACACCAGGAGAGGCCGAGCTGCTGCTCCCCATCACACACACCACACAGCTCAGTGCCCGGACTGGGCACCAGCAGCAGCTAACGTGGCTCCGACACACACAGCCCCCGACACCCGGACCCTATACACAGCCCCCGACACCCGGACCCTATACACAGACCCCGACACCCGGACCCTATACACAGCCCCCGACACCCGGACCCTATACACAGCCCCCGACACCCGGACCCTATACACAGCCCCCGACACCCGGACCCTATACACAGCCCCCGACACCCGGACCCTATACACAGCCCCCGACACCCGGACCCTATACACAGCCCCCGACACCCGGACCCTATACACAGACCCCGACACCCGGACCCTATACACAGCCCCCGACACCCGGACCCTATACACAGACCCCGACACACACAGTTTCCCGACACACAGACCCCATTTACACAGCCCCCGACACACAGCCCCGACACACAGACCCCAATACACAACCCCCGACACACAGCCCCGACACACAGACCCCGACACACAGACCCCAATACACAGCCCCCGACACACAGACCCCGACACCGGGACCCCATTTACACAGACCACAAAGGCAGCCGAAGCCCCTTTTTTAGCTGAGCTGCAAGGCCCCAACCGGGGGCCGCGGCGCCCCTCACAGGCCGCTCCCGACTCCCAGGCCCGGGGCCCGGCTCCCGGCTCCCGGCCCCGGCCCCGGCACCGGCGAGGGGTAGCGGGGGCAGCGCCGAGCACCTGTGGCTCCGACCCCCCGCCTCAGGGCCGGACCCAGACCCCGGGAGCCGCCGAGAGTCGATGACAAAGCGACGGCGGCTTAACGTGATTCCCCGCCGACAGCAGCTGCAGCTGTAACCCGCACTCACTGCCTGGTCTGGCGGCCGCTCTCTGGGTCCGGTCCGGTCTGCGGCTCTCGCGCTGCTGTCCCTCTCCGCCAACAACAGCTGAGGATGTAAACACTGCGTCACGTGACACCAGCCCGTCCGCCCGCGCAGCACTGCACAGCCCCACACCCCCACTGCACAGCACTGCACAGCCCCACACCCCCACTGCACAGCACTGCACAGCCCCACACCCCCACTGCACAGCACTGCACAGCCCCACACCCCCACTGCACAGCACTGCACAGCCCCACACCCCCACTGCACAGCACTGCACAGCCCCACACCCCCACTGCACAGCACTGCACAGCCCCACACACCCCACTGCACAGCCCCACACACCCCACTGCACAGCACTGCACAGCCCCACACACCCCACTGCACAGCCCCACACACCCCACTGCACAGCACAACACAGCCCCACACCCCCACTGCACAGCCCCACAGCACTGCACAGCCCCACACCCCCACAGCACAGCCCCACACCCCCACTGCACAGCACTGCACAGCCCCACACACTGCACAGCACAGCACTGCACAGCCCCACACACCCCACTGCACATCCCCACACCCCCACTGCACAGCCCCACAGCACTGCACAGGCCCACAGCACTGCACAGCCCCACAGCACTGCACAGCCCCACACCCCCACTGCACAGCACTGCACAGCCCCACACCCCCACTGCACAGCACTGCACAGCCCCACACACCCCACTGCACAGCCCCACACCCCCACTGCACAGCCCCACAGCACTGCACAGCCCCACACCCCCACTGCACAGCCCCACACCCCCACTGCACAGCACTGCACAGCCCCACACCCCCCACTGCACAGCACTGCACAGCCCCACACACCCCACTGCACAGCCCCACACACCCCCACTGCACAGCACTGCACAGCCCCACACACTGCACAGCACAGCACTGCACAGCCCCACACACCCCACTGCACAGCCCCACAGCCCCACACACTCCACTGCACAGCACAACACAGCCCCACGCACCCCACTGCACAACACAGCCCCACACAGCACTGCACAACACTGCACAGCCCCACACAACACTACACAGCCCTACTGCACAACACAGCCCCACACAACACTACACAGCCCCACTGCACAACACAATACTGCACAGCCCCACAGCACAACACAGCCCCACTCAATATTACACAGCCCCACACTACACAACACAGCCACACAGCACAACACAGCCACACTCAATATTACACAGCCCCACACTACACAGCCCCACTGCACAGCCCCACACAACACTACACAGCCCCACTGCACAACACAGCCCCACAGCACAACACAGCCCCACAGCACAACCCCACACAACACAGCCCCACAGCACAACCCCACACAACACAGCCCCACAGCACAACACAACCCCACAGCACAACACAACCCCACACAACACAGCCCCACAGCACAACCCAACACAGCCCCACAGCACAACACAGCCCCACAGGACAACACAGCCCCACCGCACAACACAGCCCTACACTACACAGCCCCACAGCACAACACAGCCCCACAGCACAACACAGCCCCACAGCACAACACAGCCCCACAGCACAACACAGCCCCACACAACACAGCCCCACAGCACAACACAACCCCACACAACACAGCCCCACAGCACAACACAACCCAACACAGCCCCACAGCACAACACAGCCCCACAGCACAACCCTACACTACACTGCCCCACACAACACAGCCCCACAGCACAACCCTACACTACACTGCCCCACACTACACGGCCCCACAGCACAACACAGACCTACACTACACAGCCCCACAGCACAACACAGCTCTACACAACACGGCCCCACACTACACAGCCCCACATAGCACAACACAGCACTACACATCCGCACACAACACAGCCACACACTACACAACACAGCCCTACACTACACAACACAGCCCCACACAGCACAACACAGCCCCACACAGCACAACACAGCCCCACACAGCACAACACAGCCCCACACAGCACAACACAGCCCTACACTACGCAGCCCAACACAACACAGCCCCGCACAGCACAGCCCCACACAGCACAGCCCCACACAGTACAACACAACAGAGTCCTGCACAGCACATCCCTACACAGCACAACACAGACCCACACAGCCCCACACAGCACAGCCCCACACAGCACAACACAACTCCACACAGCACAACACAGTCCCGCACAACACAGTCCCGCACAACACAGCGCAGCCCCACCCAGCACAGAACAGCCCGCACAGCACAGTTGCACACAGCACAGTCCCACACAGCACTGTAAAGCTCCACACAGACAGCCCCACACAGCACAGTATAAATTACATTTGTATAGTACCTTTCACATCAGGGGAATGTCTCAAGGCGCTGGATGTGAAAGGTTCTACACAAATGTAATTTTGTTGTTGTTGTTGGACGGTCAGGGATCCGCACTCAAGCTGGTGGTTGGGATCAGGAAGGGAGGAGAGAGGGGAGGGGTAACCGGGTGACCAAAGGCATGGTCAAAGAAGAGGGTATTGAGATGGATCTTGAAGGAAGCAAGGGATGGGTTGAGGCGGAGGTACTGTGGGATGGAGTTCCAGGGTGGGGACAGAGAGGCTGAAGGTCCGGTGGGCAAGGTGGGGGACATGAAGCAGGCCGGAGCCTGCTGAGCGGAGGCAGTGAACAGGTTGATACTGGGTTAGGAGGTCACAGATGTAGGGAAGAGCACAGTAAAGCACCACATAGCACGACCCAACACAACTCACTTCAACATAACTATACTAAGCCTAAAACAACTCAAAAGCTACTCAATAGGACCAACATAATTGAGTCCAGTATAAAAGAAGCCAGATCAGCAAAACTCTTGAAAGCTCATCATATCAAACAAAAATCTAATGGATAACGCCCATTACAACTTAACCACAATTCCACATACTAGAGACAAGTAACAACACAGTCCAACATATACGTTGAATAAGATGGTCTGAGCTGACACTTTGTTCATAGCACAGTTAAACTAGCGTGTTCCAAGAATTTGGTACTGATACCGCACGTAGAGCATTCAAAGTGCATCTAAATCTCTTTAGCAAGTAATGGGGAGCAGGTGGGAAATATGAAGCAGACCATTATTTGTTGAGTGGAGTGAGCGACTCAGACAGTAAGCTCACAGGAAGTAGCAGGGGTAGGATGGGGAGAGGCTAAGAAGTTAGAGTTCAGTATCATCTGTGTGGAAATGAACTCCAATGCTTGTCCAACCTTCTTTTTAAACAAATTACACAACGTATAGCTTTCTGTTGTTTAACAAAAATGTACTCAGCAACATTATTTACCTCAAAACAAGTGTTTTAGACAATTTATCTAGATTTCCAATTTATATACAAGCTTATTACACTGTTCTATCATGTAGCATGGCGGGACAGGCTTGAGGGACTGAATTGCCTACTCCTGTTCCTTTATTCCTAGGTTCCTATATCAAGTATTTCTTCTGAATTCCAGTTGTTTGATGGATTTCATGAACAATTTAACAAAATAGAAGCCCATGGTATTAAAGGGACTGTGGCAAGGAGACAGAAAGCAGAGTGGTAGTAAACGGTTGCTTTTCTGACTGGAGGGAGGTGTGTAGTGGTGTCCCTCAGGGGTCGGTACTGGGACCACTGCTCTTTCTTTTCTATATTAATGATCTGGACCTGGATATAAGGAGCACAATTTCCAAATCTGCAGACGATACTAAGCTAGGAAAAGTAGTTAATGGTGAGGGGGATAGCACCAGACTCCAAGAGGACTTAGATGGATTGATACAATGGGCAGAAATGTACCAGATGAGGTTTAATGTGGAGAAATGTGAAGTGTTGCATTTTGGTAGGAAGAATGAGGAGAGGCAGTATAAGCTGATGGTACAAGCTTAAAGGGGGCAAATGAACAGAGAGACCTGAGGATCCACATAAGCAAATCTCTGAAGGTGGCAGGACAGGTAGGTAAAGCTGTTAAAAAAGCATATGGGATACTAGTTTTTATAAATAGGGGCATAGAATTCAAAAGTCAGGAGGTTATGTTGAATATTTATAAAATGCTGGTTGGGCCTCAGTTGGAGTACTGCATTCAGTTCTGGGCACCGCACTTTAGGAAAGATCTTTAGGAATGAAAGACCTTAGTTATGAGGAGAGGTTAGCGAAACTAGGATTATTTTCCCTAGAGCAGTGAAGATTAAGAGGGGATTTAATAGAGGTTTTCAAGATCATGAGAGGATTTGATAGGTTGAACCGGGAAAAACTGTTTCCACTGGCATGTGAGCCAGTAACCCAAGGACACCAATTTAAAATAGTTGTTAAAAGAAACAGAGGGGAGGTTAAAAAAANTGTTTTCACCCAACGTGTTGTTCGGATCTGGAATGCATAACCTGAAAGGGTAGTGGAAGCCAATTCAATAACAACTTTTAAGAGAGAAGTAGATGGGTATTTGGGGAGGATAAGATTACAGGGCTTTGGAGAGAAAGCTGGCCAGTGGGATTGAGTTGGATTGTTCTTTTCAAAGCCGGTGTAGACACGATGGGCTGAATGGCCTTTTTCTGTGCTGTATGATTCTATGATTCTATGAATTTTGCTGCCGCAGGCACTAACCTTTTAATTCAACTGAATGTTTGCTGGTAGCTTCCAGTACTAAATTACAAACTACCAGAGTATCTGTATTGTTGTTATCCGCATGTGGTTTGGTTTATTTCACTAAACGCTTGCCGCAGCAAAATTGCTCTTGAAATCCACTGAGCCTCCAATGCGTGTGATTTGAGTGCAGTGACTACCCGGAGCACCACTTGAAGAGCCACTGAAATCAGCGAGATCCCTCTGTAGTTATCGGTTTCACAAGAGTCACTAGAGTCCCCCTTCTTGTGGATAGACACCACAATTGCACTCTGGAACCCTGACAGGGTACATGCTTCAGAAAGAAACTTCTGTCCAGTGCTAGGAGGGCAGCTCCAAGGCGAGTTGGGGGTTCCTGGCTTGGACCTGTAAGATCCTCACTGTTCTCCATCTCCTTCCTCAGATCGCTGCTCATCA